CAGCGTAATAACCTGTATACATTTCTGTGACTTAAGGCCTCTTCTGCAATCTGTTCTTTCTGTGCATTATACTATTGTAAGCATTTCTCTACATATTAGTGATGAAAATCATATTATAATTACCCTTCTTTCCTTAAATTAGCGCTTTGCTGTCATTATGGGGTCTCTTCTGAAAATGTAGTGTTTAAACTAGCAGATATTGAAGAATGCTATTTTGGACTCTTGGAAACTTACATGAGACCTTCCTCTGGCCAGTTGAACTCTGTTCTTTTTCATTCAAGCTGGCATGTTAAATGAGACTGGTTCACACATTTAAAAAGATCTGGAGAGGGTCTGGCAGCACCTTTTTCAATTAACTTTTTTTAAAAAAGCATACGCTTTCATGAACCATAGCTCCCCTTTATCAGATGTGTAGAGTGGCTAGAACTTGCCCATTTTAAGATGGGTGGACTTCAACTTCCAGAATCCCTAGTCAGCATGCTGGATCAGCCAGTCCACACAACCATAGCTAAGGTTGGGAAACAGTGGGATAGGATATAGGATTTAAATAGGGATGGTGGGAAAGGAGGGGATGACAGTTTGGTTATGTAGATACAGGTTACCTGTGAGGCAGATTAGCAGTATCTTATTGATTAACAATTGTTGTGTTAAAACCCCTTTGTATTTGTTAATATCTTGAGCTTGCCTGAAATCTTTTGATGTATAGGTAATACAGATAAATGACCACAATTGTGACTGGAACGTGTGTTCTAAGTCATTGTAATCATAAGTCTAGTCAAACCCAATTTTATGACTATTTTTAAAGTAGGAATTAAACAAATCACACAATTGTTAAGCAAATCCAGCTTCTCCAATGGGTGTTTTTTGCCAGAAATTGGCAAAAAGATCATAAAGTACAATCACGTGACCATAGGATGCTACCACTGGTCATAAATGTGAACCGGTTACCAACCACTCAAATTACGATCACTTGACTATAGGGATGGTACAATGGTTGTAAGTGCAGGTCATAAGTCCCTTTTTCCAAGGTCATTGTAACTTTTGAACAACTGTAAAACTATCGTAAGCCGAGGACTACTGTATGCGCATTCAGCAATCACTTGCTCAATGGTGGCTTTAAAATGGGTTAGTTGAAATAGGTGCTACCAGGCTTCCTTGGGATTTTTTTGTGACTCGGGTCTTTCACAATGTTCAAGTACTGTAGAATCCAAAAGCCTTCTCTGGACTGCTCTGTGGCTTTTTACTGTTCTTTGTATCAGAGTTCTTAACCAGACTAATAAATCACCTGATCTTAATTTTTAAAGAAGCTTGTTCAAGTTATATTATTCTTGCAAAGATTATCATATTAAGAAAAACAAATGAAACTCCTTAGAAATGGCTTTAGGCAAGTTGGTGCCGAAGCCAGAAAATCCAACATGGTGCACTCCTCCTTTCCACTACTAGAGATTAAACAAGTTGATTATTTGCCCAATAATTTTCATGGTTGCGGTAAATTCTTTCACCCTATGTAATATTTAAGCCAAAAATTCCAAGGGACGATGGTGGTTCAGAAAACAGTGAAAACCGTCATTCATAAAATTACAAGACACTCTTATATTACTTTTTTGGGAAAAATAATTCTGAATAGAGCTGTGTAAAACAGAATGTTCTCAAAGTAAACCAGGACTTTTCAGATTAGAAACAAGGCCAGTTGGAACGTTTCCAGAGTGTTTTGGAAAGTTGGAATATCTACTATTTCAAAATGGGAAGTTTCAAGCTCAGATGTGGTATCAGTTCAAAATGCACGAGTGGTTATAAATTTGTGTAAATACAGAGACTAATGCTAGAGAAAAACTAGGGAAACTCTTTTAAGTTTTGGAAATCAAAAGATTTCACTAAAAACTTATCTGTACTCTTGCTAAGGATGCCTATGGAGATTCTCAAATCATCTAAATCATGGTTGTCACAAAGGTGCTTTTCAAAAGGCAACTGGACTTCCTTGGTTTTTTTTTTTCTTTAAAACATTTCACTTCTTATCCAAGAACTAAAGAAACTTCTTGGATGAGAAGTGAAATATTTTCAAGGAAAAAAAATATGGAAGTCCAGTTGCCTTTTGAAAAGTATCTTTGACACGTCTATGGAGATTCTCAGTCATCTAGGTCATGGTTGTCCCAAAGATGCTTTTTCAGGAAGAATCTTTGGGACGTCTTGCTATGGATAATTTTTACTAGGTATTGCATAAGATACACATCTATTTCCCTAACAACAAAGAAAACTAAAAGGGCTACTAAAAATGTACTACTCCTTACCAGTTGTTATTTATGCTCTATTATTGGTGCATGTAGCCATTAGAAGTTTGCAGGCCTTATTTTAATCTTTATTATGCCCTTAGAGCCAGAAAACATAAAATATGCCTAGCTTGCAAGTTAAAACTAATATTAGGGCAACCGATAGGAGGGGGAAGAATGTATTTGGTAGTAAAGAAAACTACACCATTATTATGGCATGTTTTGTTCTGAGTTAAGATGTCATGTGCACCCAACTATTTTGTTATACAATTAACAATTCTGACTCATATTACATGTGAATCCATTCAACAGTGGCTTATTCAAGAAACTGTTGTTAAACAATACATGGTTTATTGTAACATCCAACATATTTGAAATCAGGTCCTATGAAATGAATCCCATTTGCACATAAGAGGCTAATGCTCTATTCATATGAATAATTAATAAAAGGTTTTTGTATGTTCAGTTTCAAATATTAAAACCAAGTCTTGATAACTCATGGAAACTCAGCTTTATTTTCTATATCAGAAATTTAAAGATTGCTTCTGATAATAATTTAATACCCAATTTTTAAACTCGATAGAACCTACATCAGAATGTATCACAGTGCCTTACAGTTTCATGGAAGTTTGCTCTGATGAGACCAGGAATGAATGAGAAAGACTTTCTAAGATACATAAAAGGTGATTTGGAATATTTGTGATATCGGTTCTCAAGACAATAAGGTTGCACTCACTTAACATGCTTTATGAAGTCAGGTGAAGATCCAACAGGTGCAATTGCATAAACTGAGTTTGTGATAACCTTGGCTGTTTTTTTATGGTTTGGCATAACCTGTTTGGATAGCACAAGATTGAATGTACTATGCAAGCCCAAGAAATGCAATAATTCAATAACCAGGTAAAGCCTACAACAGAGGTCTCAAACTTGGCAACTTTAAGACTTGTGGACTTCATAGCTCCAGCATAGCTAGCTGGAGAATTCTGGGAGTTGAAGTCCACAAGTCTTAAAGTTGCCAAGTTTGGGGACCCCTGGCCTACAGTATTGTATTTATGTAGCCAGAATGGGTCATTGCTCTGAAAATAACAAAATAGCATTTCCTATTTTGTAATATGAGGAACAGAATACTTTCTACATACACTGTTTAATCTGTGATCACCTTTCTCTTAAAAGGAGGCAGCAAACATAAAAATACTAAATTAGATATTCAGAATAGCAAAACCATGTGTGTGTTTGATGTGGGCTATGGGCGGCTTTGCATGATCTTGGTGTCCCATTCCACCCAATCAGACTCATCAGATCACTGTACACTGAATCAGGAGGCAATAGTGAGAACACTTTATGGTGACACAGATTGATTCAGAATCAGTAATGGAGTTAGGGATGTATTTTATCACTTTTTTGTTCAATCTGTATGCTGAAGTGATTATGTGGAAATTAGATCTGGAACTGCCTGATGTTGGAGTGAAGATTGGGGAAGAACCATAAATAATTTGAGGTACGCAGGTGATACAACACTATCGGCTGAAAATGAGGAAGACCTGGAAAAAATGATCTGGGAAATCAAGGATGAAAGTGAAAAGGTAGGATTGAGTCTTAATATCGGGAGGAAGGAGGAAATGTACAGAAAACAAAAATAATGATAATAGCTGCAGATGGACATGAGACGTTTAAAATCAACAAAGAGGAAATTGAATTAGTTTGAGAATTTATCTTCCTTGGATCCAAAACTGTTCACGATGTCAGTTGTACTGAAAACAAATGCAGAATAATCTTAGGCTGCACTGCAATAATTAACAAGAAATAAGATCTAGAAAAGCAGATATCTTGACATATATAGGTAGAGCAATAGTCTTCTCTATAATGATGTATGAGTGTGAGAGTTGGACACTAAGAATGGCTGAAGAATTCACGCCTTTGAACTGTACCGTTGGTATAAATTATTATGTATACCAAGGACAGCCAGAGTAACAATAAGGCATGGTATAAAATCAGACACAACACTAGAAGCTAAAATCATAAGACTATGTCTGATTTACTTTAGCCATGTCATGTATGCAAATTCATTGGAGAAGGCAATGATGCTAGGAATGGCTAGTAGTGGACCAAGAAGGGCAAGCAACCAAACATGCTGGCTTGATAACATCAAATCTGATGCAAAGTTGAACAACTGAACGAAACTGTGTTTGACAGGATAGCATGGAAAGCATTTGCCTATAATGTCGCCAAGTTGGACACGCCTAAATGGTTCAACCAACCAACCAACCAATGCATGTTTGCATTTGTTCAATTTCAATAACTGCCTATCCTCCGGCCAGCCAACTATCAAATCAGTTGAGACCAAGTACAACGTTGCAGGACTAGTCATTCTTTCTCAGCCCAAACTACTTAGTGGGATTGTTGTTGTGGGGAAAATAGAAGGAAGAAATGGATAGTAATGTGACATCAGCTGAGAAAAAATAACCCATGTCAATACAACCAAGAAACACAAATCCAGGTTTTCAAGGCCTGGCAAAAGGCCAGCAGGATTGGGGCCATCTAATCTCTCCAGAGAGAATGTTCCCCGAGGACAGAGACCACGGGCCTCATATGCACATATATTCAGAGTTACATAAAGCAGCTATTTCGCTTTTTGCCTAAGTGTCCTCATTGATGGCTATACCGTTACTGCTGCCGCTGCTACTCTCACGTGTCTGTCTATTCTTATCCGGAGACACGCCCTTCGCGTATGAATTCACGGAGTAAGGAAAATTAGAGGGGACTGGAAGAAAGTTCCCGGGCTGTGATCCTTCGGAGCGCTGCCGGACAGCTGCGAGCAAAAAAGAGCGGTCCCCCTTCCTAGCTCCCAGTCAGAGGGCGCCGCCGGAAAACAAAGGCGGCCTTGCCCGCCCTTCCTTCATGTCGCCGCCGCCGCCGCAATCGGCGGTCTTCTTCGAGCGGGAGCTGCCCCGGCGGGACGGCTCTGGGATCCTTCGGCTGACGCAGCGTTCGGCCGGCGGGACGGGCTCGGTGGTGTGGGACGCCGCGCTGGTGCTGGCCCGCTTCCTAGAGAAGAACGCGGCACAAACAGAGCAGAGCGGCGGAAGCCCGGTGGGCCTTCTCCGCCACAAGGCCGCGCTCGAATTGGGCGCCGGCACCGGCCTCGTCGGCCTCGTGGCCGCCAGCCTCGGGTACGGAGCTAGGGCAGGCGGGGTGGGGTGTAGATCCTGGGCTGCCGGCCCTTCCCTGGGCATCGCTGCCCCGTTTTAGTCTCCTGCCGTGCGTTGGATGTTCTCTCGGTCCTGGCAGAGAAAAGGGCGACCCCCACGAGGTGCAAACTCTGGGGCTTCTGTGCGGAAAGCAGCTCTTCCAGCCCCCCGGGCTTCTGATGGAAGCAGAAAGGAGATGATGCGCGCCTCGAGAGTCCTGATATTATCTAAAAACCTTCCTGACCAGAAATTATTACCAAGAAAGTGTTTCTTTAGCCCTTTGGGGGATGTATTTATTTATTTATTTATTTATCTATCCATTCATTTATAGTTCACGTTTCTGAACCATCCACCTCAGTCAGAGGAACTGTTTCACAAGTCAGAGACTACTTACACAAACTGCAAAAGTCCTCCCCCCCCATCGTGGCTACTAAATAAATCCAACCTGGGTAGGCTCATATTAAGCCAGAAATAATTGCTTACAAATCTCAATGGCTGTATTCATTCAAAAAGTTAAGCAACAAGTCACCCTACACTTTAGGATGTCAAGTGAATAGTGATCATATGGACAACATTGATTATGCAAAATTCCCTCTGTATGCCTACCCCATTGAAGGAAGGGAGAAAGGGACAGATTTCCCCTCTAGGACTATTATAAAGAGGTTATTGCAGTTATTTGAAAATAAGCTAGGCCATATTTCACATATATTTTCCAGCTTAACTTTATCTAGTTCATTTGCCAGGAGAACTAGCTCTGTGTTGCCTTAATACATTTAGTTTTGTACGTGATTTTCTTTGGCAGCAATTTCCTGTACATGATTTGCTTTGGCAATTCAAACTTCTTAAAAAATTGACTTTTGTGGAAGGGAGCCATGTTTGTCCACTGTGGCAAGTCATCAGAAGGGATTCTAATAGCACCTTTTCAAACTAACACATCTTTTTAAAAGGCAGATCATTTTATCAGATGCATACAAATCTAAATCCCATATTAGTCTAAGCCCAGTGTTTCTTAACTTTGGCAACTTGAAGATGTGTGGACTTCAACGCATAGAATTCCTCAGTAAGCGTATACAAATTTGAGAAACCCTGGTCCAGCCACTCTGCATCAGATGAAGTGAGCTGAAGCTCACAAAACTTTATGCTGTTCAATGAAATCTGTTTAATCATAAAAGGCGCTGCCATTCTTCGAAGAAATTGAGTGGTGGGTTTAACATTTTCATGCTGTGTTCTGTCTTGTATTGCTTGAATAATAATGGGGGATCAGGAATACTAACATGTTTTCCTTCCACCTTTTTTGTAGAGCAAATGTTACTGTTACTGATCTGGAGGAAGTTCAGGACTTATTAAAAATGAACATTGAGAATAATCAACATCTTGTATCAGGTTCAATTCAAGCCAAGGTACTGAAATGGTTTGTATTAAAATTTTATTTTATTCACTTTAAGAAATTAAAAACCAATTTTGGTTAATCAGACAGTTATAACAGTCTAGTTTATTTTATATATTTAATCATATTTTTAAACCATTCCCTCACAGAGTGAAGATAACAAGATTAACAAGACATTTTTTTGCAAGACATTTTTGCAAGACATTACAAACTTGGTTTTGCCCTTGAGCCTGAGATCACGATAGTGTGAATGAGTCTTTTCTGGGTCATGGTTAAATTAAATATGGGATGTTATCAGTGTTCTCAGCTGTTATCTTGTTCATCTTGTTTTTAATTCTGGTGGTTTTTATTGTTTTTAACTGTTAGCCCTCCCCCGAGATGCATGTGAGCTAGGTGGCCATATAAACTAGTTAAATATGTAATCCATAAGCCTTTACTCCTTTTATTTATATGTTTAGGGGGGAAGATGTGACAGATTTTCTTCCTGCACCTGATTTCATATTGATGGCAGATTGCATCTACTACGAAGAGGTAAACTGCATTCCATTAATATCAGTGGGCTAAGAGTAGAGTTGAGGGCAGGCAAAGAATCTCTAGCTTTGTAATTGGGATTAAACTTGTGACATCCTTTGAACTGATTTTGATGTTGTGATGAGATCATGGTAGAAATGCCACAGCAAAATGATAATCAGTGGGCTATTTTTTCTTTGTACAGTAGAGCAGGGGTCCCCAACCGCCGGTCCGCGGACCGGTACCGGTCCGCGGAACAAGCCTTACCGGGCCGCTGGTTGCTGGGCGCCGCCATCTTTTTTTGGTAAAAAAAGCAATTTTTCGTCAAAAAAAGATGGCGGCGCCCAGCTGACGCCGGAACCGGGCCGCGGCGCCCAGCTGACGCCGGAACCGGGCCGCGGCGTCGAAAAGGTTGGGGATCCCTGCAGTAGAGTGTACAAAGCCTATGAACATCTTTGAAACTTTAGCAAACTGAACACTTGAGACTCTATAACACGGGTGTCAAACTTGAGTGCATCGTGATGTATTGCGACATTTTTTGCCTTTGAGGAGGTGGGATGGGCGTGGCCTGCATGTGACTCATTCAGCCCACAGGTCCCCAGTTTGACTGGCCTGTGAAATAAGATTTCTGAATGACCTTGAGGAGCCCACCCTGCCCAAATTTTTTTTTAATTGCATTTATTATGGTTTTAAGAAAACCCTGCCTTTCTGTTAAAGCAGGGATCCCCAACCTTTTTGACGCCACGGCCCGGTACCGGCATCAGCTGGGCGCCGCGGCCCAGTACCGGCATCAACTGGGCGCCACCATCTTTTTTTGACGAAAAAGTGCTTCCGGTGACCTCACCGGAAGCACTTTTTCGTCAAAAAAGATGGCGGCGCCAGCGCTTCCGGTGAGCTTTTTCGGGTAGAAATGGCTTTCTACCCGGAAAAGCTCACCGGAAGCGCTGGCGCCACCATCTTTTTTTGATGAAAAAGTGCTTCCGGTGAGCTTTCTACCCGGAAAAGCTCACCGGAAGCACTTTTTTACCAAAAAAAGATGGCGGCGCCCAGCAACCAGCGGCCCGGTAAGAGTTGTTCCGCGGACCGGTATCGGTCCGCGGACCGGCGGTTGGGGACCCCTGTGTTAAAGGGCTATGGTCCTTGCACCCATCTTGTCTTCACATCGTTTCTGTGAGGTACAGGCAGTGATAGTGAGTAGTCCAAGGTTATGCAGTGAATTTCATAACTAAATAAGATTTTGATTCCAGATCTTCCAGTTCTGGTCAGATGCTTATACGTTTAAAGTTGCCAAGGATCCCAGTGATGTTTAGACTACAATTCCCATAAACCTCACTCAGCATGACAATTTATTCATGATTTTGAAAGTTGGAACCTAGGCAATTGAGAGTTCTCTCCTTCTGTAATTCCTATGTCACCTTATCTCAGTCTGATAGAATCACATAATGTTCAAATATTTTGGATTGTTATTTTCATGTTTCCTTGGGTACTGCTGGTAAAGTAACTTGTGGCTTATTCAAATAACTGTGTCCATTGTGGTAGCTTGCATTATTGCTTAAAACATATTTTTTTCCTGAGAAATTCTTGGAGAGATTTCCTTCTCAGGATTCTTCAAACTCTTTAGGAATATTCAACCGCTACCACCTATTTCATTATGTGAATAAGATGGAGTGATGACTGTGGAACCAGCCCCAATAGTAAAAAAAAAATGTGATTGTGGCCTGTTTCCTGAATTCCTGCATTACATCTTTTAGCTATTAGTGTAAACTAACAATACAGTTTCGTTTTGTATTAACTGACCTGAAGTTTCTTAGAACTTTTAGGAGCTATTTCCATATAGCTATAAAAATAATAGCCTTTCAGTACCTCATGATTGTCATCCTAGTCTATATTCTGATCTTTCTCTGAATTCTACTTGCACTTACTACTGCTATCTGCCTGGTAATTATCCAAAATAACTTAAAATTTGAGAGGTCATCAAAAGAAATAATAATATTTGCAAATACAGTTACCCAGTTGCTTGTATTCAGCTTTTTGAAGTACAGATTGGAATGAGCCATATATAAACAGTAGGTGAAGGCTAAATGTCAAATATTCAACTTTCACGGTTAGTCACTGGAACCATTGATTAAGACCCTGAGGGACTTGGCTGGCTTGGATACTTTCATCCTTTGCTGTTATGAAGAAAGGACTGTGGGACAAAACCCAGAAGTAGAGAAAAAATACTTTGAGGTGAGTCACGTTAAAGTATTTCTCGATCTGGAGGAATCAAATTTCTCTGGGGAGGGGGATTTGCAAGAGTAGAAGGGCAGGTTTTCAAAACCAGGATTCTAAAATACTGAGTAATGATTTCATGCTTCATATTATTTTCTAAAACAGACATAAGAAGCACTAATAATATTTTGAGAGTACTGTGTTTTTTAAGAACTTATTCTGGTATAATTTTAAATCATAGCTTCTTCAGAAGGACTTTGAGTTGCAAAAGGTTCCCTTGGATGAACATGATGAAGAATATCAGAGTGAAGACATTCATATCCTTATCATGCAAAAGAAAAAAATAGTAAGTATCAGCCTTACTGGTTCTGGAAATGAGTTAAACATTTTCTGGATATCAATCAGAATAGAGCGGGAAGTAACTTTGGAGATCCAATCCCCTGCTCAAGCAGCAGACCCTATAACCCAGAGGTCTCCAACCTTGGCAACTTTAAGACCTGTGGACTTCAACTCCCAGAATTCCTCAGCCAGCTTTGCTGGCTGAGGAATTCTGGGAGTTGAAGTCCACAAGTCTTAAAGTTG